CGATTTTTGTCATCATATATCTTTGCAATTAAGTCTTAAATTAAAACTCAACTAAAGTAAACTCTATTTAAAATTAATCAAAGAATGTGGTTTTGTTAATATTTTATTTCTACAAAGCTTAGTTTACGAAAAACCCCTTATTTCCAATCACTTATAATTCGAAAATTATTAGTGCCTCGACATTTTCATTGAGGAAAAATCGTCTTCAGATGATCCCAGGAATCTGTCTTTGAAAAATGACGGAAGATGACTTGGACATGTATATATGTATATACATGTATACCTGTATATATTATACATATATATGCACAATGTATGCATGTATATATAATATATATATTATATATATTATATGTATATTTATATTATATATATATTTATATTATATTATATTTATATTATATATTATATGTATATTTATATTATATATATTTATATGTATATTTATATTATTATTTATATGTATATTATATGTATTATATATATATATATATATATATATATATATATTACATATATGATTAATAGATGTATTATATATACACTGAGAAAAAAATCTGGTTGCATTAATTAGAATTTTGGTAGATTCAACCAGTATGTCTGTTGGAAAATGGACGAACCAGAATTCTTGTAAGAATTATCAGATGAATCCGATTAATTTCTTCCTGTTATTATTTACTAAATTTACCAAATTTTCTGGTTAATAATACTAAACTTGCCAGCATCAAATCGTCTAAAATTTTTTCCATCTGATCTCAAAAGTCTGTTTAATATTCTGAATTCCAACACGATTATTGCATAAATTCAATCAAGATTATTGAATAAATTATTTTAAGTTTAATTTGTTATAAATTAAATTGATAAACAGTGATGCAAGAAGAGGATGCAGCTCAAACACACACAATCAGAGAGCTAGCGTCCTCTTTCTGGCACTACTGCTCCAAGAGAAAAAAAAATATACTTTGGATTTAATGTTAATACTAGTTCTTTATATATATTTCATGGCAAATATTGAATACGAGTTAAGTTAAGAGTGGCTCGCCGCCTAGCAAGCAAAGAAATTAATGTAACAAGAAATTTTATAGATCCAACCAGAAAATATTGTACTAACCAAATCCTTATAGTAAAATCTATTAAACGTTCTAGTTATAAAAAATCGAGTCTTATCATGATAACTAGAAATTCTTGTTTGATTTAACCAAAATGCTTTCAATCATATACGTCTTGTTGATACATCAAACGATTTTTCTCAGTGTATGATTGTCAATATAAATGAGCGACTCGATGTATGAGAAAGCTGTTCACCAGGATGTTAATACGACGTTAATACGCATGTGTATTTGATTTTTATTTATTTAAAGATATGCGGAAGTTTCGATTTTGCCGCGGGGTCTTATTAGTCACGTCATCATCGTAAACGACCAGTTCCCGATAATAACACGACTATCCTGCATACCGCCGAGCGAATAATTAGAGAGATTAATTAACGAAATGCGAGACGGATTGGCAGGTGTTCGCGACAGGATTCCGGCGAGGTGGATTAAATCCGCCTCAGTTGCCGACGCGCGAAATGCAGTCCAATCGCACAATTGGCGATCGGTGAAAAAAGTCGACGGGGTAGAGCTTCCGAGGAGAGTCGGGGATTATGAACAATACCGCGGCGAAGGAAGGAGCATCGTCCTGTCGGACAAAGGAGCGGGATCGCTCGATTCTTTCGAACTCCAAGTTCGGTGATCCCCGTCGCTTCGTTCGCAATTATTTTCCTTTTCTTTTTTTCCTTACCTTCCACCGCGTTTTTTCTCTCCTCCTCTCCTCTCCTCTCTCTCTCTTGCCTTTCTCTTCTCTGGTTTCTGTAAAATGGACGTCGCGATTAAGCGCTGCGGACGAGAATTGTTCGGACTCATCGCGCGGCCGAACAAAAGCCGCGTCTTCTATTTTTATTTTTTTCTCTTTCTCTTTTCGCCCGATGCCCGGCATGTTGTTATCAGGATGCCTCAGGAGACAGAGCGACGTTAGAGCGTCTGAAATGGCCGGGTTTTCAGTTCAGTTAGGATAACGTTCTAAAAACGAGAATATAATCGAGTAATCAAGAGGAAGAATATAAGAAATAGTTGCGTAGAGTTGCGTTTTCATCGCGTAACTCCGCAAAATTCTCTGTCGATTCTCCTCCGTAGTTCTCTTTCGCAGCTAATTTAGATCATTCTTCTGTAATAGAGCGAAGAAAATGGGAGCGAGGGCGAAATTGTAGGTTCGTAGGAGGGAAAAATTGGCGTTCGTTATTCGCGAAAACTTCGGCTAAGGCAAAATTGTGCGGGTGGATGCGCCAGTTTCTCGCCTCCGCGAATTCTCGATTTCAACAGCCCCCTGCTTTCGGAGAAGACTCCTCTCGGATTCTTAATTCGCGAGAATCCTTTAATTTTCAATGTTAAATGACTGGCGCAATCGGGGTTGATTACGCTTGAATTCACGGACTTTTCTCGCTGTTTTCTTCTAGCTTTCTCGGTATAAATGCCTCATCTCGCCGACCTTTGACGTCGCGACGTCTTAACATCCGTGATTTGGAAGCGAAATTTAGGTTGACGTAAAAATGTAACTCGATTCAGTAATCCTTTCATCCTTTCGCGACTTCCTCTTTCTCTCTTTCTTTTTCTCTCACTTCAATAAAGCTCCAGTCAATCTCTCTTTCTCTTTATGAGCTTAAAGTCACCCGAGTCGCTTATTTACTACGGCTTAATCCTTCAGGGACGCGAGCTGTATTAATCATTAAAACCGACAGCCGCGCAGATACGAGGCTTTTAGCGATGAATGGCGTCAAGTCAACCTTAAATCTCAAATCGCTCGTAAGTATCGTCGTCGTCAGAAACTTGCAGACCTACGCGAGGCTTTTAACCGTCATATTCTACTTCTCCGGTTGAATACCGGACGAACCCCTCTTTCCTTCCCCCGTCCCTCGTTTCAACTCTCACCCCTTTCTTCGTCTTTTCGCGCGATCGCGAAATCGGTTTTGGCTGAAGTGCACGTGACCTCGATATCGCGCTCCTTTCTTCGCTGACTTGCTGTCTCTGGCCAGCGGAAAGGATTGAATTGCGACGAAACCGCGAGAAATCTCCCCTGTATGTGTAAGTTCTGCATAAAAACACTCAGGAGACCCTGGGTATTTTTATGCAGAACTTACACAAGCGTTATTGACAGTTGACTTGTGTGTGTTTTTGTGAATTTTTGTTTGAATGTTTTTGTGGTATAGTTCATTTGGAATAGAATTTTCAAACTCAATGTAGTTTTAATTACTCGTACAATCGATGCGGAAAAATGGCGCGCTTGCAGGAAAAACAAGCGAAAATTGAAAGGTATATTGCATTATGGAATTTAAACAAAAAACTGCAATAACCTGATTTTTAAATATAAAATTTTAAATATAAAATAAATATAAAATTAAATATAAAATTAAATATAAATTTCTTCTTCACAATCTTAATGCTACAATTTAAATAGAAAATCTTCTTCTTCACACAATCTTAATGCTTCAATTTTCAATACAAATTGGAACGTTCATTGATTAAGCTTTTAGCCGTCTATTCTAGACTTTTAAAGCTTTATAAAAGTCCAGTGAATCGAAAAATAAGATTATTCACATTGTGTAAAATTTTATTTAAACAAATAAATAAATAATGGTTTGTTTTTTGTAAAAAGTATATATTTTTAATGATGAAATGAAGATGAAAAATCACAAAATGTATTAAAACAAATATAAGCATTTTTATCTTTACACATTTCTCATCTTTACACCTAGCTATTATTTTTGATGGATTTCTAAAAAAATTTATATTTTCCTCTTCCAGTTGTAAAAAAAACAAAATTTTTCCAGTAAAAATTTTCAACTTCTAAATTTAAATGTGTCTAGTAGTGAAAAATAAATTTTTGAAAATTTTCTCTGGCAAAAGTTCTTTTTACACAAATAGTTACGCAAATAGAAATATATAATGTTTTTTAGGGAAAAATATATATTTTTAGTGATATAAAAGCAAGTTGAGATAAATAGCACAAGATATTGAAATAAATATTATTTATTTTTACATTTGTTACTTTTGATATTTTTTCTAGAATTTCTATTTGAAATGAACTTTTTTACAGTAAAACTCGAAACTCTCCCTCCATAAATTTAGATGTAGCTGGTAATAAAAAATAAATTTTTGGGAAATCTCCTCCGGGGAAAAATTTTTCATACGCTGTTACAAAGTATTTTATTTTTCTATTCACTAGAATCTTTATTCCTATATTCTTGTATTTTTTAGCTGAAAATTTAAATTTTTGAAACAATATAAATGAATGAGAACATTCCAGTAGTCGCTGAAAGCGTTTGAAATAAACGAGTGCATAGAGAGATTGTGAGCGTAAATAGAATCAAATGATTGATTATCATGTCACGATTGCGATGGCAATATTCCGCTTCGCTGCTGAAGACCCAGGTCAACAGAAGTCACAAGCATTGCAGTTTGTAAGCCCTGTTTCTCTAGTTAGCGCAAAGCTTATAGAAGTTTGCTCGAAACAACTCGCTGCTTAAATGGCTGCGTCCCCGGTTAATTCTTTCAGCGTCGACTTATAGGTATTCCTTCTGTTCTGCGCGCACCTCGTGACAGGGATCGCTTATTTCCGCCTGTTACTCTTTGCCAACTTTGCCGCGATACGCCTCGCACAAAGGATTAATGTCTCCGCGCGGTGATCCTTTCGTCCGGATATTCCGTTATTGTCGTAGCAGTATCTTCGGTAAAGGAGCTGCGATGTTTCGCAAATATTATGCCGACGCAAAATTGTATTATTCAAGGAGAAAGTTTATAGCGAGCTCCTCGTGCTCCTCAAACATCGATGTAAATTGTCGCTGTAATGATATCGCGCACATATTTGCGGAATTTTCATTCACGATAAGACTTACACTGTAATAATAATTTAAATGAAACACCAACCGTACACTTCTCTTCATTGTTCTCTCTTCATTGTTGCAGATCGGTGGGCCAGCGAGGAGATAAGGACCCGGCCATCCTCCCTTGGTAAGGATCTCTGTTCTTGTCTCGAGGTCCTTTCAAGTCGAAATTCAAATTTCTAGTTCTCTCTCTCTCTCTCTCTCTTTCTCTCTCTCTCTCTCTCTCTCTTCGCAAGAGCTAGATACCTGGGTAAACTAGTAGGACTTTGCTGGTATTGTAACTCGAAATCGCTATTGTTTCTCGGTCTTCTTCAACTCACGCCGATTATTATATAATTAATTGTTACGACGAAAATTTGCGTCGCGTCGACGATTCAACGCCCAGAGAAATCGCATGAATGAACAGATCGCATTACCCGATTCTCGTTCATTCGCGAAAAGCTGCGAGAGGAATGACAAAAAGCTCGTGAGTTAAGCTTGCGTGAGACGCCGAGACTTCGCGCGCTTTGTGACTTCATCGTTTGACTACACAAACGAATCTACTCGCGAATAGTATCTATCGATGTAGCTGCAATTAATGCTTCGGCATAATTTTAATTTAAAATTTACATAAGGGAATCTCAGAAAGGTAATAGTACACAACGAAAAATAATGATATAAATTATTTATTGCTATAAATCGTGTAACTATTAGATTATTTGACAGATATATACGACAATTTCTTTCTTACAATATTAGCCGGCGTTATGAGGAACACGACGCGAAACATTCCATATCCAAGATCGCTCGTTCAACCGTAAAATTGGATAAGAAAGATTCGAGTCACCGGAGCGCGTATGGCTCTTAATAGAGTCTTTTTGCCGGACTGTCTGATGCGGCTGGTGTGGCTGCCGCCTCTTTTTGTCCATTAAGAACGTTGTCGGGTTAAATGCAACGACGAGATGGTTTCGTTCGCCATCGGAGATAAGCGTCATCGTAACGATAATTAACGAAATTTAATCAGAGCCCACCCCCTACCTTCCTCTCTAAATCAATTGCACTTAGTCTGGAGTCCTTTTGATCGGAATTGAACAATTAATATTTCGCGGAATCAAAATCGATTTACATCCGCCATTCTTCTCGGAGCAATCTCATGCGCTGGATTTAATTAATTTCATCATTGCTTTGTTGCATAAATGTCCGAAATTGGCAGATGCAAATTATTTGTAACACTCAAACATTTCGATACTGTTGGCGTTCTTTCGACAATGCAATATCGAAATTTAGTTAGAATTTTTTATGTTATTGTATCGAATTATATAATCCGTTCATTATGAAAATATGCAGAAGGGGAGAAAATCTAGAGGGAGGGGACAGATTACTAAATGAGAAACTAAATAATTAACTAAATAATTAAATTTCATGTAAAATCGAATATAATATTATGCGAAGTACGAGTGCAAAAGTCACGGTTTTCATTAAATCGGCTATATTAGATTACATATCTTTTACTGACTTTTACTACTATCTAAAGCGGAAGCGCGGTCGGCTACAGACATCCCGTATATCTGCGCATAATCCCTGAGTTACAAATTCTATTAAGCGGGAGAGAATGGGGAAGACTGAGGGATTAAAATTACCGAGTGTCTTATTAAAGGGAGAGATTGCCCGCTTCTTTCGGTCAAATAACGAGCTCCGAGCTACTCCGCTTGCGAGCAAAATATCTCGATCATATAGTTTCTAATTGACGATATCCCCCGGACGAGCAATAATTTTAAAATAAGAGAACTTTTCCATGTAGGAATATTCTCCTAGTCTCTCGCTTCTCGAACGTTTATCGCTTCGCGGACGGATAATTTTTTTCATCGACGTAAAACATCGATTCAATTATGGCATGTCATCGGCCGCTCATGTCACCGAGCATAGCAAGTACATCGGCGACGCGGCCCTTTTTGCCCTTCAAGTTTCGGCTTTAAATCGCATATTTCCCTTTTTGTCGCACTCGCTAGAGAAAGAGAGAACGGGAGCGAGAGAGAAAGAGAGAGAGGATCCTTAATTACGGTTGACCGAGCGGCGATTAAACTTCGCTAATTGTCGCGCCGATGACGCCGGACTCTCCGATAAGTACCACTGCCGCCATTCTGCAAATGTGCACTCGAATCGAGACTCTCGTCCCATCTCTCACGGTACAGATAACGCATTTCTCTTTGATCGATATACGAGTATGTTTCTGAATTAGGCCTTGGATGCACTTTTCCTCGAGAAAATGTCTCTCTTCAAATATATTTCTCTTACTGAGACCTATCTTCGAGATTCATCGCGTCTCTCATGAAATTCTGGGTGATTCGAGATGGCGAAGAGCGATATAGCGACATAGGGCGGGAAAGAAAGAGGAATCAAAAGATCGAGAGGTACGAAAGGGGTTGGAAAACACGATGGAGAACGGGCGTCACAAGCGGGAGATAGCGTTATCACAATTACCTTTCGGGGGAACTCCACTAATTTTAACTAACAGTAGAAATATCGCGAAACTTTTGAGCGGCGAGTCCTCGCCAAACAATTTATCTCTCTATCTCTACGAGAGATAGATGGAGAGGATGAAACCGAGAGATCGAGAAAACGAGAAAGTCAGAGAGAGAGAGAGAGAGAGAGAGAGAGAGAGAGAGAGAGAGAGAGAGAGAGAGAGAGAGAGAGAGAGAGAGAGAGAAGAAAGAAAGAAAGAGAGAGAGAGAGAGCCTCAGACGCTCTCGCCTCTCTTATCCACTCGCTTTGCGGTGTTGATGAGAGGGAATCGAGGGGGAGAAACGGGCGAGCTTTAGTGCGCCTTTAAAGTACGGTATAACCCTGGAAATTATAGCGCCATCCCCTGGCGCAGTATGCTCGGCAGTGGCAACTTAATAAGCCGATAGGATACGATCTCTGCGCGAACAGAGAGAGAGAGAGAAAGAGGGAGAGAAGTAGAGAGAGAGAGAGAGAGAGGGAGAGTGAGAGCTAAAGCTCTTTCGCGCTAATTATTTGCGATTATGACTTTGCTGGCGAAGTGATCACGTGTGTTGATACCCCGCCTGTTATAAGTAACCTCACGGCAATGTTGCTTCGTCAGATTGTTTTTCCCCCCGGGTATTAATCTCGTTGCAGTATAATTTACGGAAACATGACTCCCCTGACAAATAAACGTCTTATATAATTATATTAAATTTTCCTTCTGCTGAAGCGTATCTGAAGCGTATCTTTTATTTACGAATTGACGAAGTTTAAATATTGAATTCCAATTCAATATCCTTTTTATCTCACATTTAACGATGCAATTTATCGAAGTTTATTAGTTTACATTAAATTTCTTTTATAATTATGTTAAAATTATTATTTACGCGCTATACACTCGATTAAATTTCTCGCTTAAACTTTCAAAAATTCGATATTAATTGTTCTAGATCGATTCCCCCAGAACGCGAGACTCATATTACCAAGTTCACGACGTGGTGCCTATAATGGTCGCCATAAGGATTAAGCATTGAATAGGGTAGTTACGAGGCTACATTTTCCGGGAAAGGCGATAAAAGACTCGGAGATTTTTTTCTTTATATGCCATATGCAAATCTCGACGGGCGCGCAAATTAACGTTTACTGTTTCACCTTTATTCATCGTCCCATACTCGAGCGCGTATCGTTGATATAAATGGCCGCCAGATACGATCCTTCCGGCTGCATCAACTATGTAAGAAGATCGCTATTGAGTTTTGCAGCAGCAGTTTATCGCGGTCGTAACTAGGTCGGCTTTATATTTCGCTGATAAAGCCACGGGATGACCGTGTTTGTCATCTCGCCCCAGGGTTATCGTTCCGTTAACAACCAGACGGACAGACAAAATTGCTCGCTTTCTCCCTTAAACTCCCCGTCAAACTGAAAGCGCGAATAATGATAATGAAGAGCGAATCGATCAAGGATGCAAGAATGCACTGAGAAAAAAATCTGGTTGCTTTGATTAGAAATCTGCTAGATTCAATCAGTATGTCTGTCGGAAAATGGACGAATCAGAATTCCTTTAGGAATTACCAGATGAGTAATTCCTTCCTGTTAAATTTATCAAATTTTCTTAATACTAATTTACTTAAAAAATGGCATCACTGTATCTATGTTTAGTTAATATAACAAGAAATTTTATAGATCCAATTAGAAAATACTAACTAAATCCTTGTAGTAAAATCAATTAAATGTTCTAGTTATAAAAAATCGAGTCTTATTATGATGAGAAATTTTGCTTGGTTTAACCAAAATTCTATTAGATACGTCTTGTTGATACAATCAAACGATTTTCTCAGTGTGGGCAATCATAAATTACAACGCGAGATTGTAAATTTCGAATTGCTGAGAATTTCCGCTGAATTTTCCCGTCGAAAATCGAATGCGGCAAAGAAAACATGAAAATTGACGCAACCATTTTATATCGTTCGATATAAACGTGTTATATAAACAAAAAAATTGCTAGAAACCGAAGCGCATTTTCTCAGTTGCATTCGATTTTCCATTCGTTTAGCAAACGACGCTGCTTTTTTTTTTCAATAGCGGTTAGAGTTGTTAGTAGCTTAAATTCACGATTTAATTGAAACGCGGAAATTCCACGTGCTTGGGCGTATCTAAGCGTGAGCGATGCTCGTTGTTGAACTTTTTTAATCTGAGTAAAATGTTTACGAAGCGGTTTGCGAGCGGTTTGTATCCGCTCCCAATTTTTTTTTTCGCCAGCGAGAAAGAGAGACGGGGTATCGGAAACGAGAGGCGAACAGAACGGAGAGAATAAAGAGAGAGGCGAATGCGATTTCGTCTTTTGATGACGATAAACATCGATGGAGTTTTTTGTTTTTGGAGCAATTTGGAAATTTTTTTCACCTGAACGAGATACAAACAGCGTTCGCTGTATAACGTCCGAAACGAGGAGGAAGCCGTCAAATAATGTCGGTCACCTCTCTGCGTTTTAGCGCGGAAACTCGGATCTATATTAAATCCTACTAGCGGACTGTGTTGATTTTAGTGCGCCGCGGCCGTTCGGGGGTTTGCTATAGGAATTGCCTGGACCGAAAAAGCCAATTCGCTTGATTGCGGCCCCGAAAATGTCCGCATTCGCGGCGTCAGCCCCGTCTCATAAAACTC